ATCGGGGGCGCGCGGGGCCCGGGGCGGGGCCGGCGGCGCGCAGGCGCGGCGGCGCACTTCCTGCTCGGAAGGGAACGTGTCCCTGGCGCTGGCGCGGCTGCCCGGCCGCCGGAAGTGCGGACTGCGCTGGGGACTGGCGGCGATGGAGCAGGCCGAGGCGCACAACGGCTGCGGGGCCGGGGAGGCCCCCTCGGCCGGGGCGCGGCCCCCCGCCACCCCCGAGGGCATGGCGCTGGCCTACGGCAGCCTGGTGCTGATGGCGCTGCTGCCCATCTTCTTCGGGGCGCTGCGCTCCGTCTCCTGCGCCAAAGGGAAGGTGGGTAGCGGCGGCGGCGGGGGGCCCTGCCCGGGGCCGCGGGGGGAGGCCGGCCGGCCTGCCTGCCTGCCCTCGCTGCGGCGTCCCGCTTTCTGGCCCGCGCCGCGGCCGAGTGTTGGCCGGCGGAAAGCCGCCCCCCAAGAGGCGCTCACGGCCGCTCTCCCGCAAGGCGCGGCGCGGGCCGACGGGGACGGGGACGAGGACGGCCCTAGCAGCGGCTCTTAGCGAGACGGCCGAGTGGAGCCTCCGTGCGCAGGGGCAGCCTACCTGGGAAGCGCCCCCGGAGGCATCCCTGGCGCGGAGCGCTGCTGCGCTCGGAGTCCCCGGGGGCCTCCCTTCCCTCGTCCGCCTCAGAGCTTCGCGCCCGCAGCAGTGGCCTTCGTCTCTCTTTCTCTTCTCCATCTTCCCGGTTTCCCCTCATTCTTACGAATCCCCTAAGGAACCAGGCTGCCGCCGCCTCCCTGCCCTGTGCGTGTGGCCTGGCAGCGCCGCGGTCTTGATACTTGCCGCGCTCCAGGGGGTTTTCTAACGTGCCTTTTCACTCATGGTCGTGACCGGCCCGGACCTCCCCATTGCGCACACCCGTTTTTCGCTGAGACGGAGCGAACGCACGTGCTCTGCTGCCCCAGGCGTGTGCAGGGCTACCTCCCCCACCCTGGCTGGACTGCAGCTCCTGGTGATGTGCTGGACTACAACTCCCAGCATCCTCCACCAGCAGTGCTAGCGAGGAATACTGAAATTGCTAGTCCAGTGCAATTAGAGGGCACCTGTCTGGAGAAGGGGTGGTGCAGTGAGAGAAGAGTCTGTCTTCTGCACATTCTCATGGCTTCATCTGATGGAAATGTCATCTTAAACTGTTCCCCTTGTCCAAAGCTGATCTGTCCATTCTCCTTATGCTCAGCTTTTCTTTAGGAACTGAAGCTGTCCTCTAGCAAATGCTTCACTTTTTTGTCTGTCATCCATGTGGAGGAGTGGTCACTGTAGTCTGTGCCCTGAGTTTGGGCTTGAACGCACCTTGTGAGGGAGCCTTGCAGGATATGAATTTGAACAGGAGGTTGACTGACGTGTTAACTTCTAAGAGGACTGAATTGGAGAAGCAGCTCCTCCTCTAGGCATTTGAATGTTGCCTTGCGGTGGAGGTTTTGGCCAGCCGTGTGCTGAGAAGTGTGCCTGGCTACTGTTGAAGAGGTCATGTTTTGCATAAATCATGCTTCTCTGGAAGTGTCTTTGCTTTATGAAACGGCGAGTGCAATGCCGGGTCTGAATAGAGAGAGAGGAAAATGCTCCCTGTTCGTATTGGGTGAACCTGGATTTTTGCACTGAAAATGGCAAGTTTCCATTTTAAAGTGCTGTGCTTCTGCATGATTAACCTATGGTATGAGAGTCTTTCAGGCTGGGTTGTGGTAGAAATGTCTACATGAATTCAGTTAGTGGCTCCAACTGAAGAGGCTTAGAACTGAAATTGATTCAGAGGTGGCATAACTGCCCCCGCTTCCTTGTGAGAGTTACTGGCTGAGCTGCACATTTCATTTCCCTATTTGTGAAACATGGGTGGTCTAGAACCAGTAGTCCTCTAGCTTACTTCAATTTCCCCGTCCGTTTACTTGGAGGGAAATTTTGCACTCTTGGCAACTTTCAAAGCTTGGAATAACTGACGAGCAGGTGTGGGGATTAAAAGACTCATGGAAGCTGCCATCTTGTCCGAGAACCAAAAAAAAAAAAAAGTCGGTGAGGTTTTCTACTTACAAAAAAGAATTTGTAGCAAGAATATTCTTGAAACAAGAAAATGCATGTTCTTGCACAGAACTGAGCATGCTATGTGATTAATCCCCAGAAATGCTGCCTATAAAAGTTGATACAATAAGTCAATGGAATATTTGTTCTACATAATTATCTTGTTTCCAATTGAAAAGAAAACTTCAGTCACTGTGCAAGTGCCGGCTGTCCCTGCAGCTCTGCTTCTAGAGTTCCAAGTTCCTTTTCCCACACGAAGTGCTGGGCTAGCATTTGGCTAATTTCTCTTTCAGAATTCTTCGGATATGCCAGAGACCATCACCAGTCGAGACGCTGCCCGCTTTCCCATCATTGCTAGCTGTACCCTCCTAGGTCTTTATCTCTTCTTCAAAGTAAGTGATGGCTAGGTTTCTTGTTCCGGTGTTCTGCTGGCTCACAGCTCGTCCGGTGAGCTTGTGGCAGGGGAGGTAGTGCTGCCATTCTTGGGGATGGAAAGTGGCAGAAACTTTTCTGACAGTCTGTAAGTAATAGCTCACCTATTGCTGCCAGACTTGTGAGCTGGCCTTTGAGAGTTTTGGGGCTGAAGCATAAAGGATGAGGGTGTGCCAGATTCCGACTCGTGTTGGCAGCGACTCTTTCCTTTCCTGGCGTTCAAGAAATCTGAGGTCTCTAGCTTTCAGCAGGAGTGTGCAGTGTTTTTCACATAAAGCATCTATCTACACAAGTAGTGTAACACTTGCTGGTGATTTTACTTCTTATATTTTTATTTGATTTCCCTGTTCAGAATCAATACATGTGCCTTGTGTAAATAAACAAAATGCAAAATTAGAAGGAATATATTGATGAAACCATAGAACAGCAGGCATCAAAGAAGAGAGCAATATACCTTTTTTAAAAAAAAGTATGGAAATACTTAAAAGAGGCAGGCCGGACAAAATTCATAGAAGCATCTGATAGAATATTACAGGAAGTTAACTCTCTGCTAGGATGACCTGCTTTTTGTGCCACTGACAGTAAAGGGGAATGGAAACTCTGCTTGGAACCTTGGAGGTGTTGGCGCTCGATCCGACTTGTTGAACTTCTTGCTGCTTATTTGACAAATAAAGCCAGTCTTGGGCAGCTAGCAATTACAGTCTCTACTGGCAGCCAAGGAAATGGTTCTAACTGGCAAGTGTCATTTCTTGGGTGATGTTTGTTCATCTTGCAGCATTTAGAAACAGAAAGGAAGCAAATCAGAAGGGGTCTCCTGGGCCATCTAGTCTGACCCCCGGCTCCAGCCGGCTCCACTCACAGCATGCCCCCCATGTGCATGTCTAGCCTGTCCTTGAACACCCGCACCTGAGGAAGCCCATTCCATATCCTAGGGGTCCTAACCATCAAGAAGTACTTCCTGACATCCATCGTGAAACCTGGTTCCTTGAGCTTTGCTCCATTGGAGCACGACCCATCTTTCACTGCAGGGAAAAACAGGTCATGGCTCTCCTCCACATGACATCCCTTCACATACTTTTAAGTTGCTAAAAGATTCCCTTGGAGATCTTTGCATCACAGATGTTTAGATAAGCTGCCCCTAACTTTGGATTTTGAAGGAAAACGGCAAAAACGATCAGGAATATATCAGAGTGCTGGGCAAGGTTGGTTACATGGTAGGAGGCATTCACTGCATCCAGAATAAGTATTTTTCAGTCAAAAGTTCCTCCTCTGCTCTCCCTCAACAGCACAGAACTAACCGTTAGAGCCTTTGCTGCTAGAGGGTGCAATAGATGGAGCTATGAGAAAATGCCAGCTAAAAAAGGCTTCACAGATTTCCTGGCAAGGTCACCCGATAATCGGCTGTGATGCTGTGCCGAGATGAAGCATTCTAATGTTGCAGAAGCAACTGGGAGACTGTTGGCCTGCCATCGTGTAGTAATTACACCCAGGAGGTGCACTGCCCTTTGCCAGAGTAAGTTTGCCTTTGGCTGATCTCATTGAATGGTCTTACATAAACTTGAAACCGCCTTCGGTGCTGCTCTGGAGGACTCGGTGGGTGTGAAGCTGGGGAGTGGAATGGGCTGCCGCGGTTGGAGTCGCAACAGTGCGTTGTGTTGCTGGTTTCTCCCACACCTGTGAACTACCTGAAGTCTCTTAGGCAGAACCTCCCAGAACGGAGCTCGGGAGTGTGGCCCACCCGCTGCTGCTGCTGCTCAGGATGGCCGGCTGGGAGCTGCAGGCCACGAGGCTGCCAGAGTGGCAAGGCCCGCGTTAAGAGGAAATGTCTCCACGTGGGGAAGTCGGGGAAGCCTCCCTGTGCTCGGTGTGCGCGTTTGTCATACGGGGCCGGATGCATGGCGATTTCACGTGGTCTTCAGCCTGCTCGTCGGAAGCGTGGCCGGCTGGGCTTGCTGCAGACGTTGCGTGTTATTTCAAGATCTGGTCACTGGGCGTTATTGTGCACGATGCATCGTGCGACCCGATCGCAAAGCAGGTTCGGGCTCAGCTGTATGCTCTTGATTTGGGAACCAGCCCTGCTGATGTCAGGGGTGTGCCGGTGTCCGGGCCAGGGGGGTGCAGCCCTACACAAACTGATTTAATTTGGGCCCATGTTGCTGAGCAACGAGATGGTTCTGGTAGCAAGTGGGATGTCCGTTCCTTTGGTTCTGCTGCCTGGGACACTGGAAGGAGTTGCCCAAAGAATTTGGCAGCCCCTTTCCAGCTGGATCACTTCCTCTTCCTCCAAAGTCTGCTAAACGGAGAAGGACAGACGTGTCTGTGCCTGAGCACCCGCTGAGCTCCCTCTCCCTGGGGCTCGCTGGCCCTCCCCGTCCTGCCGTGTGGCTGCTGTTCCCCATTCAGCCACTCGTTTTCAGCAAGCGAGCGGGGACCAGAGCAAGGCGGAGCAGCCACACGTCGCCTTGCTTGCTTGTGCTCTGGGGGGAATTACGTGCGTCAGGCCAAACCTCCCCCTTGAGAAGCTGCCAGGGCCCAGTGTTGCTGCCTGCCCTCCCGCATCTCCTGTATTAAGCAACCCTTTTCATTTCCCATAGTTCCCCTGACCAAGTTTGGTACGTTATGGGAAATTGGAAGTGTGGCTAGACTCACCCGTGCTTCCGGTGGGGCTTGTGCCGGAAGGGCAGGCAATGGACAGGGGTGGTCGCCGGGAGGGTGAGTGCCTTGCCCAGAGGCGCCACCAAGCCCCTAGTTGGCAAGGGATGAAACATCATAATCTTACTATTTTTAGCATCCTTTTCTGCTACCCTTTAAATCCAATGTAGTCTAAGAGTATAAGCTAAAACTGCAAAACGAAGCTTGAAATTGCACCACTAAAATGACATATTAACTAAAAGTAGCGGAAGTAAGAGTCCAGTGTGGGCCTGAAAGCGTATGCTTGTGGGGGAGGAACACGTGGACCTCCAGAGAGCGGCGGACTGTGCTTGCCGCCAGCCTTGGTGGGCTTAGGCAGTGATGAGGCGTGCTGGGAGCTGGACTTAGTGACATCTGGAGGGCGGCACGTTCCCTGTCCCTGGCATCCCGGGAAGGAGCCCGGCAGAGCTCCACGGGGGGGAAGTTCCAGAGCGTGGGCAGCACCACGGAAAAAGCCCAGCCCCCAGCCCCTTGTGCCCAGCTGACTCTCAGGCAGGGTGTATAGAGGAGACCGCTCTGGAGCTGTCCTGGTCTTGAGGACCTGAAATCCTGGCAGCGTGTTTCTTCTTGAATGGCTTGCTTCTGAGCATTTCTCCGTCAAGAGAAGCAAAGTTGCAGCCCATCCCTAAGCTTATTTGCTCCACGAAGCTTGGATACAACTGCAGGGAAGACCTGTTGAAGCGTCACTGCTTAAATTCCCTTCCTGTCCTTTCTGAAGGGTCTGCAGACCCATTGCTCACTGCTGGGCCACAGGACCTCTGCTTGAAATCCCAAACTTACGTTCCAAATTATTGGATTTATACTCCCAGCAGCCACCTGGCCCTTCCTTATTTCATTCATCCCGGCAAGAATCTCTTTTAAGAGACTGCTGTTATCCTTTTGTAGGGAAGTTAACTAATTTATAATCCTCATTTTAGGATTAACTTTCCAAGTGGGTTACAACTGAGACACTGTATACTCAGGTTTGTAACTGAACTGGGATTTAGGCTCAGATTTTCTGGTCCTTCCTGCCCTCCCTTCTTGGTTTTAGTGTTTGGTACTCAGTTCCTTGCCAGAAGTACCCTTTAAACTGGGTAGAAAGGAGCGTAATCCTTCCATTTCTATGACATGCCTTGTTCAACTGGAGCCACAGGTCCTTCAATGCTCTATTTTGTGCCTCGGAAAGACAAGAAAAGGAGCTTTCTAAATTGGATGACCTCACAGATGAGTCATGAAAACTGCAGCACTGATGACGCTTCCAGAATTGCTCGGGGTCGGTGGAATGCATTGCACTGCAAGCAAGCAGGGTGTTTATAACCCAACCGGTTTGTCTTATCTTCCAGATCTTCTCCCAAGAATACATCAACCTGTTGCTCTCGATGTACTTCTTTGTCCTTGGGATCCTTGCTCTTTCCCACACCATCAGGTACGAGATGGAGACTGGCATGTAGCTGGAATACTGTCTCTTGTGACTCCCAGTTTTTAAAAAGCAAGCTCCTAACCCCTGGGATTGTAGCAAAGCTACGCAAGCTTAGCAGCACTTTGCTCAAAAGCCTCCCACCCGGAGAATCTGGGTGGAGACGCTGGTGTATAATGCAGCCTCATCCAGGTACAGTTCTCCTTTCCTCCTCACGGCTTCTTCCTGGGGGCAGTTTGAAAAAGCGGTCGCTTGCAGCCGTGTCTGTTCATTCCCCCCATCCTGGGACTCTCCGTTTCCCAGATAAAGGATGTGCCACGTAGCTGGCAAACTGACTGCTGTGCACCGAAGTCAAGATGAACGCTCGGAAGTTGTAAACGTAACATGAGATGTAGTTGGCACGGGTGCAGGGCTGGTCGCAGGGGCGTGAGGCTGGGAACTGGCCACGCAGCCGGGGGCTTCGGCACCTCCCCTTGGGTTTTGCTGCCGTGAAGAAGGACGTCTGTGGGGTGGACTGCACCAGGTTTGCCCTTGCCTTCCCCTCCTCAGACCTTAGCAGAAAGCTTGATCTGGGCCTTAAGGCAGGGGTGGGCAGCAAGTTCCCTGTCAAATTTGTCTCGAAGGCCTTTTCAGAAAGCTGGATTTGGCCTTGAAACCACCGCTGTAGTTCCATTTGGTGCCATCGCTCTGATCGCTTGCTGCCGCAGTTCGGCGGTGTGCCGCTCTGGGGGCCAGTTCCAGACTCCCAGAAGGACCCCAGTTCGTGACTCGCTCCTGCACCCGCATTTCATGCATGTTATTTGTGTACCACCCAGCGCCCCTCAGGGAGTGAACTCGCTCCCTTCATGCGCCCTCTCCTCTCCTCTCCCCCACTCCCGCTGCAGCCCCGTGATGAACAAGCTCTTCCCAGCCAATTTCCCCAACAAGCAGTACCAGCTCCTCTTCACTCAGGGCTCTGGCGAAAGCAAGGAAGGTAAGTCTGCCTGCCGGCCTGGCATTGCAGCTTCCCCGGATGGAACGCTCCTGGTCGCTTCGGCTGCTGTGGCTTGCCGAGGGGCTGCCCGCGCTTGGCCACTTCTCCGGGCGGGTGCCCCCGAGCCTTTGGTGCACTGACCTCCTGCCTGCCGCCTCTGCTGCTCTCTCCATGTTGGCGCCGCCTGCGCATGCCTCTGGGCTCTACCAGTGTGGGAGTGAGTTGGGTATTTTTCCTGAAGGGCAGGGCTGCAGCCATGTGTTGCCCCCACGGAACAAAACACAGCTCAGTCCACAGGAGTGCCATGTTTGTAGGGGAGCAGGGGCACGCGAGTTGCGTGGAGGAGCGCAGGCCTTGGCTGGCAGCGAAATGGCTTGGGGAGGGACAGGCGCGGAGCTGGCAGGCAGCCTCGAGAGAGCTGCCTCTGGCTTGAGAGCTCACCAAGTGTGTTAGCAGTTGCTGCCTGCACAGGCGGGCAGGGCAGGGGTGGGAGAAGGGCCAGGGCTTGGGCTGGGTTGTGGGGCAGGGCAGGGCAGGGCAGGGCAGAGAGCCGGGCCAGCTGAGAAATGGAGCTCCCTTTGAGATGGGTGGGGAAGCCGCCACGACTGCCAGAGAGCAGTAAGGCGGCTGCCCCCAGGCCTGGCGGACGATGCAGGGGAGAGCCCGGGATGGAGGAGGCAAGGGGACGCGGCCCAGCAGGGGCCCCGAGGCCTCCCCCGTCGCCGGTGGCTGGTTCCTCTTAAGAGGAGACGGGGGAGTTCAGCCAGAGCAAAGCGTGGGCTCTGCCGCTGAGCAAGCAGACAGTCTCGGACTTGGCCTCTGCTGCTGCAAGCGGGCCGTGGATCATGGGTGTCAGGTCTGGGAGGAGCCCTCTTGTCCTGAGAACTTGCTGGCCTCTGCCAGTCCGAGTAGGCCGTCCTGGGCCTGGTGGGCCTGTGGTCCGGCTTGGCCAGCCTCTGTCCTCAGCGTTGCCGCCGCACGGGCGAGGCGCTGGCCCTCGTGGCCCCTTGGGGCAGTGGGCTCCCCCCTCGCGTTGCATTCAAGAGGCTGGCGAAGGTCACAGCAGCTGGGTGGCTTTTGTTGGCAGAGATTGTGAACTACGAATTCGACACTAAGGACCTCGTGTGCCTGGCGATGAGCACCGTCGTTGGCGTCTGGTACCTGCTGAGGAAGGTAGGTGCTGCCAGGCAGAGCGCGGGGAGCACCTGTGGAGGCCGAGGAACCGCTGCACCTGCAGGGCTTGAACTGGGATGGGGGGAGTGACAGAGGGCCCGGCCGCGCCCGGGGCTGATTCGCATCCTCCCCCCTTTTCCCAGCACTGGATTGCCAACAACCTCTTTGGCTTGGCCTTCTCTCTCAACGGCGTGGAGCTGCTGCACCTGAACAACGTCAGCACTGGCTGCATCCTGCTCGGTGGCCTCTTCATCTATGACGTCTTTTGGGTAAATGCACGGCTGAACTTACTGCCGCGTCTTTTCTCCACTCTGGGTTGCTTCCCAGCTTGTTTCCCACCTGCTTCAGTGGAGCTGCAGATACCGTCATGTTTGTTTGACCACCCTTGACTGCAACCTCTGTAACCTGGTGAAACAACCCATGAGCAAGCCCATGACTCTGAGTTTGCATGTAATGACAACCTGTGGTTTAAATCCAGGGTGGGCAGCAGGTAGTTCTCCAGAGGTTAAAACTTCAACTCCCAGAAGAACCTGCCAGCATGGGGAAAGCTCAGGAATGCTGGCAGTTAAAGGCCAAGACATCTGGAGAGCCGCTTTCTGCCAATTCCCGATTTAAACAACCCAGGGACAAACCACGGGTGTGCTTTTGGGGTTGTTCATGGATAACGGACTCTGACCACAGTTGCACCTCAAACAATGTAGAATCCAGTGGTGCAAACCATGGGCTTACTCTGTGTGTGGATCGGGGCTGCCCTGGGGCTTTCTCCTGGGCTTGGCAGACGCTCCGCTTAGTGCTCTTGCGACTGTCCAGGCGGCAGTAAGTTTTCTTGAAGCCCAGATCCATGGGCTCCATCCCCAGATCTGCTCGTTTCAGTTTCTTGTTCATCCAAACTTTGGAACGTGTTCGTTCCAAACACGAACTGCTTGTGTTCTTCCCATGTTCATAATAGGTTCAGGGTTTTTAAATCTTGCACACACAGATTTGTCTGTATTTTCCATGCATACTTCCCATAATGTGCCCGATTATGTAGGCAGCATTGGTGTATTTTGACTATATTAGTTATTTTGGAAGTGCTGATGTTTTTCTATTTTTAAAAAATGAATTGTTATATTGAGTCTTACACTGATATGTTAGACCAGTAATTAATACCTTTGTCTTAAATTGAGTTTGGGTAATACTTGAACATATTTCACAATATGAAGCCTGCTAAGAGGAACTGCTAAGAATGTTGGAGCGCCTTAGACAGACCAACATAAGTTTTCAGGCATGCTGTCCATTTCATCAGCTGCCTCATCATGTACGACAGCCGACCACGAAAGCTTATACTGCAATAAATTTGTTACCCTAAGGTGCCCCCCAGATTCCTGTTCTTTTTCACCTACCCCTTTGAGCTTTTCAGGGTTTTATGATCTATATATGATACGTAATCATTACTTTATCTAGTGAAAGATTCTGTACAATGTTTTATTTTCCCTTTGGTTGTGGTTTAATATATTTTTGCTCAGGAGTATTTGAGGCTTTTCTTCTCGGTGCAACTGAGGGGTCTGGCCAAACTCTTGATGCCGCTCTTTGATTTTGGGATAGGCGTGTCCCCCACATCAGCACAATAAAAGCTTCTGCCAGCACTCTGAGAAAAGCAGAAAATTTAGGGGCAGGCTGGAGAAGGCCCAAGGGAAGGAAGTTGCTCGAGAACTAAGGAAGGACAGGTGCGGAAGGGCAACCTGCAACCTTACGCAGGGCCTAAGATAAGGGCAGGGAGGTCTGGGCAGGAGGCGGGCCAGGGCCACGTGGCAGACTGCTGGACCGGCTGATGGACGCGCGTGCTCCCACAGCCTTGTGCTGCTTTTCATTTAAGAGCTCCCAGTCCACCCGTGCTCTCCCAGAGGTCTGGCTGAGCCTTTTAAGAGCTGCTTAAGGAGGAAGCGGAACCGGAGTGCGCGGACCTGCAGCCGGCCCTTCTGCTTCGGAAGGCTTCCTCCGCAGGCGGGCTGCAGGGGTGGCGGGGCGTCTGTCTTGCCGCCCCCGTCCTTCATGTTGCTCTCCTCCTCTCCAGGTCTTTGGCACCAACGTGATGGTGACGGTTGCACAGTCATTTGAGGCACCCATCAAATGTGAGTAGTTGCTTGAGAAGCGTGCGGTGAAATTATTATTACATTGCATTTCTGTTCCACATTTTTTCCGCTTGCAAGGGAAAAGGCTGCTTACACAGTTCTCCGCCACTGCATTTTATCCTCACAACAACAACCCTGTGAGGTGGGTCATGCCGAGAGCAAAGGACTGGCTCGGAGGCACCCAGTGGTCGTGTGTGTGTGTGTGTGTGTGAGCAGATGCTGATTGTGGCATGAGCAACTGAGAGTCCTTTCCCATGAGTCAGGCCTTCCCCAGTCTCCAGGTGTGTTGGACTGTAGCACGCAGCGTTCCCCAGCCAGCCAGGTGTTTAGCGCTTGTGGAGGGCACGAGTCTGGGGAAGGCCGCTGTGGGGCGATAGTGACCCACTGTGAAAGGCAGCCTCGTTCCCTGGACTGCGATGGCGCTTGGCTGTTTACCCCATTTCTGTACCACCCATTAAGCAAAGCTGCCTGGATCGTTCCATGAAAGCCATCGCTTTAAACTTGGATTTTATTTGATACTAAAATTGAAATTTACAGCACCCCAAATACCCAGGCCCCATAGCAGCAACGCGGTGCTTTCATAGAACCACAGAACAGCTGCGTTGGAAGGGGCCCGGAAGAGCCTCGGGCCTGGCCCCTGCTCAGTGCAGGCCTGATGTCCACGACATCCCGCAGTCTGCTGGGGAGGCCACCCAACCACCGAACGAGCTCGGCTTAGTCCGGCAACACTTGCTGACGCATTGACTCAACACATCTGTGTATCGTCGCAGTAGCCCCATGGCTCTCTGGACGGTTTACATAATAACCATAGCAGTGCATAAGAACTGCACAAATAAAACATTTAAATCATCAACACCAATAAGCAAAATGATTGTGCCGTAGTAGAAACTGAGCTCCTTGGCTTTTTCTTTATTATCTGTTCCAATTTGCCCTCCTCATGGAGAAGTTGAACCTCCGTTTCTTTTCTCTGCCGTTGAATGGGAACGTGCCTGGAAAAAAAAGCTGTTTTTGTTTTGAGCGCCTGTTGCTCGCCTCAACTCACGCTCAGCTTTAGCCTTCCTGTTGTAGCGCCTGCACTTCTGTGCCACCATCTGTGCTCTTCTTTCGTCACTTGGCCCTCCTTCCACTTCCTATACACGTCCTTTGTTTTTAGCTCAACTCGGAGTATTTTGTGAAGCCACATTGGCTCCTTCTGTTATCTGCAGGCTCTTTTGCTTTTGTTAGCATTGTTTGTAATTGTGCCTTTAAATTTTCCTTTTTTTAAAAGTCCCGCCTATCTTGGGCTCCTTTTTTCCTAAGGGTCACTTGCCGCAGAACCTTACTGAGTTTATTAAAACCAGCTTTCCCATAACCCAGAGTACCTGTGTGGCTGTGCTCCATTTTTGCTTCATTTAAAATCAAGAACATCAAGTATGTTTTGGACATTTCCCCACCATTCCTGTGACTTCCACTTTATCCGCTAAGCCATTCTGATCAGTCAGTATTAAGTCAGGTATAGCTGATCCTCTAGTTCCTTCCTCCACCTTCTGTAGAAGAAAGTTATGATCCACACATGTCAAAAATTCCATGGAGAATTTGTCCCCAAACAAGATAATCAGGATAGCCAAAGTCCCGCATTACTACTGCATCACACTCCCTGGAAGTACTTGCGATTTGCTCAACAAGAGTCTCATTCTCATCTCCCCCCCGACTGGCTGGTTGGCACGAGACTCCGACTACCCCATTGCTCTCATTCCTTGACATATTTGCCTTGCCCTGTATTTCTGTGCAGGGATACACTTTTTTTAACACATAGTGAAACTTTGCCTCCTTTCCTCTTTCTTCTGCTCTTCTAGAACAAGCTTGTGTCCTTCAGTCGCTATATTCCCGTCATGGGAATCATCCCACCAAGTTTCAGTAGTTCCTGTTGAGTCGTTTTTGTCTTCATGTGCTCAGAGTTCGAGTTCATCCTGTTTGTTTCCCAGGCTCTGGACAGACCCCGAAGCCCACGTGCTTTCTGGCCCGGCTTCTTTCCTGCGTTATTGAGGGGGCTGCTTTGGGGTGCGAGCAGAGCCCTTCCCTGTGCTTTGCTGCCTTCGCCCACAGCGGCCTCCAATCCACATTTCCCTCCCTGATCAGACTCCCTTCGGCCTCCTGCTGAAACACTTCATGCGGTGGCCAAGCACATTCTTTCCGCCTCTGGTGAGCTGCAGCCGTTCCGTGCCACAGTCAGTCGTCCAAATAGCATCGTTTGTGGTCCCAGTAGCCGAATCTCTCATGGCGGCACCACCTGTGCTGCCAGCTTTTCACTTGGAGTATTTTTATTTCCCTTTCTACCCCACTTCCAAGGACTGGGAGGATGGATGAAAAGACTATCTGGACCCCAAGGTCCTTGAGCTTCCTTTCCAGGCTGTCGAGATCTGATGTGATCTCCTTGTAGCTCCACTTGGTTGTATTGTTTGTTCCCATGCGAATTAGAGGAAGGGGATAGGTGTCCGTGGGCTTCATCAGCTTTGCCGGTCTCCCACCCGAGCTCCAGTGAGATGGCATCCCTGCTGAGTCCATGGGACGTCACGTCGCTCCTGGGTTTCAGCCCCATGCAGCAGGGCTCCCACAGAGCGCACGCTTCTTTTCTCTTGGGCACCCCCCTTTCTACCTCCACTGCACAGACTCCCTTATCCTCCTCCCTCTACAGGCTGCCCTCATCCTCCCGTGGCTGAAAGCTCTCGTGGAGGTTCCTTAAGCTCCAGCGGTTCCACTCCGGATTCTTCTGCTCCTTCCCCCAGGAGTCTCCTTTGCAGGGTCTTTCCTCAACTCTTCATCCTCGGTCTCTGCTTCAAGCTGCTCTCGCTCCTCCACCTCGGGTGCTTCCCGTTGTTCTCGCAGTTCCACCATTTTGCCCAGGAGCTCTTTCCTTCCTCTTATTCCCCAGAGGGTGGGCACCCGCGGCTCAGGCGCTTTCTCAGTTTTGCCTAGCAGTTCACCCACCTTGCATTTATTACTGGGAAATACCACGTTAGCCTCAGGGAGGAAGACGAACATTGCACACCCTTTGCGGGTCACTACAGCAGAAGGACCCTTTTGTTCCATTGTGTGCGGCACAGTGTGGAGGAAGAAATGTGGATTTATTGATTCTGGCGTCCTGCTAGGCCCGTGAGCGCGTCAGTTGAGGTCTGGTTCCTCTGCTGCTCGCGGCGACGACCTCTTCCCGTCGTCCCTCTGGCACACGCAGCGTGTTCCTGCCACGGCTGCCTCGAGCTGGTCATTTGAAATACAGCGTGAATGGAGGGATTGATGGATGAATTCGCAAAGGCAGGAAGACTAACATGGCTGACACTGTTGTTGCTAATGGTATTTCTGTACTAGTGCACTGGGCAGTTTACCATGATATGTAACAGCAGTACAATAAGACGCAATAAAATGCTATAAAATCTTTCTAAAACCGTATAAAACTTAAAATGGCTAAAAGCATACAGTGAAGAATGGCTCAGTAAAAGAACACCTGTTGTGGGTGCTCCCTTCAAGCCCCGGATAACCAGGGGTGTCCCTAAAAGCTTTGGCATAAAGGGCCATCGAAACCTGGTGCTATAAACATGACAGGGTTCGCCCTAGGTGAGTCACTGCAGGGCGATCGTTCCGTGGAAGAGGGGCCACCACAGAGAAAGCCCTCCCTTTCCTTGCCTTCCTCAGAGCCCTCCCTTGGAGTTGGCACCTGGAGGAAGGCCCTGGGTGCTGAGCATCGTGTCCAGGTAGTCACAGTCAGGGGAGGCACCATAGCAAGTACTGCGCTCTCCAGCCAGGTAAGGCTTTAAAATGAGCTTCCTGGGTGGGACCTGGAAGTGCAAGTTTCCCTCCACCTGCCTTCTAGCTGGCGTCCTCCTTGTTCCGTCGCTCTCTGCTCAGGTCTGCACCAGGGAGCTGGCCAAGCCCTGCTCAGAGAGAGAAGAGCTTGGGCGCGATTGTGCCGGCTTCCCGGGCCATTGCTGCAGGGCCAGCAGCGCCTGCAGGAAAGTCTCCTGGATCCCCACAGGATCCGTCAGAGTTGCTGAGCCCCCGAGCGGGTGGATCTAGCTGTAGCTGGTGGAGAACACGGCAGTCTTCCTCCCGTCCGCATTGCGTAGGAACAACGCGAGTCAGAAGGGTCTCTCGGGCTCTCCAGCCTGACCCCCGGCTCCAGCCGGCTCCCCTCAGGATGTGCTTGCCCAGCCTAGGCGAGAGCCCTTCCGGCCGTGCTCTGCAGCGGCGGACAGCCCCAGGGGTTGCTGCCAGCCCTCCCAGGCAGGGTTCCCCCCTGAGCGCTCTCGAGTGTGAGCATCCCCGTTGCCAGGCGGGAGTGTGGGGGTTTAGCCGTGCTCCTTTTGGGGCAGCACGAGATGCATCTGAGGCTCGAGCGAGCGGGGCCGTTCGCTTCACTGTCCATGCAGCTTGCGAGGTGCTGCTGCCTCATTTCCTCTGCACATGAAGCTCTTCTGCTGATAATCCGATGCGTTGTCTTTCAGCGCTGCCGGCGCACCGGCAAAGGCCAGCTTTAGGTGTATGCTCGCAGTAGTCTTCAGGCGGGAAATGTTCTGCTGGTCCTCTTGAATTGTTTGAGTCACACTCCTATCCTCATGCTTTCCCCCCAGTGGTTTTCCCGCAGGATCTGCTAGAGAAAGGCTTGGAGGCTGACAATTTTGCCATGCTGGGCCTGGGGGACATCGTCATTCCAGGTAAGGCGGAGGAAGGCTCTGCTGTGAATGCTGCAGCTCAGTCGACGGAGCCCTTGCGGGCAGCTGGCTCCTCTTAGTAGTGGAGGCTGGACTGCACTGGTCTATTTGTGTGGTAGGAATTGCTTTGTTTGTAATAACTCACATTATTAAGTTGATAGCCCACCTTCTTTCCTCTTGCGTGGGCAGCAGGGTTGTCCCCCTCGCCCCTTGTGTCCTCACAACCCCTGAGATGCAGGTTGGGCCGAGAGTCTGTGACCGGCTCAAAGTCACCCAGCGAAATTCGTGGCTGGCCTGGAGGCAAGAGCTTGTATCTCGAGCCTGGCCTTCAGCTAGCGGGGCCCTGATCAAACCAAGCGGGAGTTTTCCCTAGAGGCAGAACTGGCAAAGCTGAAGCTGTCCTGCTTCAGGCACAACTTGAGGGGAGAAGATACCCTGGAGAAGACCCTCACGCTAGGGAAAGTCGAAGGCAAAGGAAGAAAGGGGACCGAATATGCGATGCATGGACTCCATCCAGGAAGCCGCAGCCTTGGCCTCGGAAGGGCTGAGCGGGGCTGTCGTGGATGGGGGATGCTGGAGGACTTCGTTCCTGGGTCACCATAAGTTGGAAACAACTGGATGGCACATTACACCAACTACAAGCCTTCAGTTGTTACATCCAGGCACCTAACTGACATTATTGAATTGCTTCTCTGTTTTCTGAGTGCCAAAGATGACTTGTGATAAAACCATAAAAAGAGCAGGGTATGACTTTTAGATAAACGAATGGCAGATGATGTAAAACGCACTCGTTGCAATCAGACAAGGGCACTCTCCACAATTAAGGAGCCTCATTAAGCCCTGAAAATCGACTGGGAAACTGAGAGGACGCAGAAGCAATTTGCCTCGGTTGTGGGGAATCTCTCTGGTTGCGTTTAGACGACACGCCTGCGGGGGGATCCGCGTCGTCACCCTTGATCGTGCCGCTTCCCGTGCTGTGCCAGGCGGCTCGTCGCCACGATGAAGGGTCCAGCCCGGATTCCCGGGTGCCTCTTCACCAGGCCACCCTGGCCCAGCTCACGCAACCCCTGGGGCTGTGCGCTGCCTATGGTAACACCAGCCCCCCCACACACACAACAAGCCACGGGGGCTTCCTAGCCCTCTCGTGGTCGTCTGCTGCTAGAGAAGACTGGTTGCATGGGGAAAGGAACCCCGGCTGCCAGACCGAGGGGTGGGGTGGAAAATTCGGCTGATCCTTTACCCCTGAGAGGGCGGCAGTGGGCCGCTAGCTTCGCTCTTTCGGAGCGGACGCTGGTGTGCTCTCACACAGGCGACCCCATGGGATGTCCTGTGGCGGGGCTTGTGGATGTCGTGCAAGAGGAACCTGCGAAGTGGCTGTTGAGGGGGGTGGACCGTGAGAGCTGCTCGCTCAGGCTGGGTTTTAGCAGTTTGCCGAGTGGGGACACGGGTCGACCTGGCCTTGTGGAGGCTGGCGATCCGGCCCCTTCCTCCCCCTTGGCGGGACGCTGCGGGCCGTGCCAGAGCCCCCGGAGCGGTGCCATGGCTGCGCTCGGCCAGCAGAGGGCACTGTGGCGTTGCAGGCGAGAGTGGAGGAGCCCGGGGTGCCGAGCGGAGGGGTGGGGCCGGCGGCCCCCTGCCCTCCCTTGTTCTGATGGCTTCTCTCCCTCCTCCCACCCCAGGAATCTTCATCGCTCTGCTGCTGCGTTTCGACATCAGGTGAGGCTCGGTGCATTTCCGGGGGCTGCATTGGCGATTTTGCCGTTGCTGCTAAAACCCAGGGCTCCCTGGTCTGTGAAAACACCCGTCGGCATGTTTGTGGGGGCGGGGGAGCGGGTCCCAGGGGCTGTCTGAGACTTTGGGGGACTCCATGTGCCCCCCCATTTCTGTTAGCGATCGCGCCTGGGTTGATGGCGGCATCACCTCCTCTTTTCCATCCCTGACGCAGCCTTAAGAAGAACACGCACACATATTTCTACACCAGCTTCGTGGCGTACATTTTCGGGCTGGCCCTCACCATCTTCATCATGCACATCTTCAAACACGCCCAGGTGAGCTGCCAAACTGGGTGCCACGTGTCCGGTTGTGCGGCCGCGCGGGTGGTGCCCCCTTCGTGGAGCAGGTCGTCTTTGGCACCAGAGACGGAGTAGGAAGGAAAGATGGAGCTGGGCCCACTCTGAAATCTTGGGGCGCCCCCCCTCGCCCTGCTCGCCCATGAGCACAGCCTGGGAGCTGGCTTTGCCAGACACACTGGCCTGGCTGTTGGGGAAGGGGATGCCTCTGAGCGGCCCCACTTTGGCCGGCTTCTCTCTGGGTGGAGTGCCAGGCGCCCAGCTGGCCCCGGAGCCTCTCGGGCACACAGGCCAGCTCGAGTGGGGTCTATTCCTTGTCCTGCAGGCCGAATGTGCACGGGGAGGACCCTCTCCTGGCTGCAGGGAAGGCACTCGGGCAGCTTCTGTCCTCCAAGACCCCTCTGGCCCACCCACTAGTTAAGCAGACGCGTGCAGACGCTGGGTTCCTGACGGAAGGGCACCCCTGAAACGGGCAGGTGCTGCAGTGCTCTGCTCCCCGGGACCCTCAGCCCGGCATGGTTTCCTCTGGACTTGACTGCAAGGGGGTGTGTTTTACCAAGCCCAAGGCTGTCCGCTGGGAGAGCCATGGCTTGAGGCAGCGCACTGTCCCAGGAGTGTGGGAGACGGGTGTCCGGGCTTCCTGAAGCTTCCTGGGGACCGTCAGAGAGCCCAAGAGTCGTGTCGAGCTGGGGCAGACCACGGGGCCATCAGGTCTAGTGCGCTGTTCTTTCCGTGGCCAGCCAGCTGCCTGCCCGGAGCCCACGGGCCGGGTGAGAGCACAGTGGCCCCCTCCCCTGTGTGCAGAGCCCTCCTGCCGGGGATGGGATGTGGCCACGGGCAGCCCCGTCCTGCGTGGATGCCCCACTCTTCCCCGTAAAGCCGTCCACGCTGGGGTAGCTGGGTCTAGGTGGCCTTTGTGTGCGTGGCTGAGGCCCGGCCCCCGGGACGCCTGCCCTCCAGCAGCCCCCATCAGGCCAGCGTCCACTGCCAGTGGTTGGGGGTGTTGGGAGCTGTCGTGCAGAAGCAGCAGGGGACTTCCCGTGCACGCCAGTGACGCCCCCGGGAGTCCTCCGAGCCGCTGCGGCAGCTCCCCCGCTCATGCCTCCCTCCCTCTGCCTCTCGCAGCCAGCCCTGCTTTACCTGGTCCCGGCCTGCATCGGCTTCCCTCTCCTGGTGGCTCTGGTGAAGGGAGAAGAGGTGGAGATGTTCAGGTGAGAGCGCCTTGCCCCTCCACCGGGAGGCCTGCTTCGTACTCGCCTAGCCGGACCGGCAAGGCCGTCTTCCCGGGTCTACCCAGGGTTAACGGGTGGGGCGGGGGCTTCGGGTGCTGCTTGGAGCTGCTGCCGACCGGGTGGGTGGGGTGCCAGGCGTTCTCCTGACTTCTGCGCAGCGCATGTGAGCCAGAAAGCTGAGAGGCACCAGGACTACATGGAGGCCTGCTCCCCCCCCCCCCCCGCAGCTCCCAGCATTCCCCAGCCGCCAGTGCCAGAGTACGCCCGGTGGGTGGGGGGTCACTCCAGCCCCACCATGCGGCGCGATGCGTGCCAGCGGCAGACTCACGGTGGGCTTTGCACTCCCGGCTGGCCTCCCCAGCCGCCTCCCCCCCGTCACAGTGCTTCCTGCTCTTCCGTGCTGTCCTGACCTTCGCCTTCATCACCCTGGGCCCCACTGGAATGTGGTGGAATTTGGGAAGCCTTGCCCCGTGGGCCTTCTCTCTCTGCCCCAGCGAGAGGGTCAGAAGCTGCCGTTCTCACCTGCCCTAGAGAGAGAGGGCTGTGGTGGCCGCCTTTGGCTGGCTAAAGCCCCCCCCCCCCTCCGCAGTCTGGCCCCTTTCCACTCCATCAGGGGTCTGGTAAAGAGAGCCGGTGTGGTGTCGTGCTGAAGACCGTGGGGCTGGAACGCATCCCAGTGATCGGGGCTGGGGCTGCCTGCATTCCAGCCCGGATCTTCATGGCAGTCACTGGGTGGCTTTGGGCCAGTCGCAGAGTCCCAGCCCAACCTACCTCACAGGGTTGCTGTTGGGATGAGACTGGGAGGAGGAGGAGGAGGAGATGGGTGTGAGCCCCCTTGAGATCTTTGGAAGGAAAAAGGCAGGATATGATGCAGATGAACAAAGCGGGCCAGTCCTGCACCGGTGCTGCCAGCCCCAGGGTGTGGGGCTCTCGCAGACGGCGGGGGGGGCGGGTCCAGGGACTTGCCTGGAAGTTGAGGTCTGCGTCCCTCTCTGCCCCCGCACCGCCTGTGCAGCGACCGGCACAGGGCCTGCAGCTGGGGAGGGGAGTCGCTGCTGGTCTGGGGAACCGGGAGGAGGTCTCCGGGTGGGTGGGTTGGGGTTGCAAGCCTTTTCAGGGGGCAGCTCCTTCCAGCGCTGTCGCCATTGCCCAGGGTGCCCCTGGGGTGGCCAGAACCCGCCACTGGCAGTTCAGAGCGGCAGAGGCGGCCACCATTTGGGCCCAGCCAAAGAACTGGGACGTCAGTAGGTCCAGTAGCGAGTCCAGGCGGGCCTTTCGGAGGTTCTGTCCAGTGACGGAGGGGGACTCTGCACATGTGCAGCAGGCCTTTCTTGCACCCTGGCCAGCCGGGGACTCGCCCACGAGCTGGTACAGAATGAGATCGCAAGCCAAAAGCTCTGGGCGGGTTTTCATGCCCAGGCCTGGCGCAGAGGTGCCGTGTGTGAGACGTGAGCTGCCCCTGAGCCTCCGCGAGCCCCCCTCGGAGCACAGTCCGCGTGACGGCGATCTGCCCTTCCTGCCTTTCCCCGTTGCCGCCGTAACTCGTCCCCCGTCCCCCTGGGCAGGGCGGGTGCGAGACCCCCCCCGGAACAGCCAGCGGACGAAGGCTGCTGGGGCGCCACTCGGCACTCGCTCGGCACGGGGCCCCCGGGGAGTCGCGTGCCGGGCTGGGGGTCTGTGGGGCCGGCGGCAGAGGCGGGCCGGCCTGCTCGGACGGGGCATCGGCCACAGCTCTGTGCCCGCCTTCACAGGGTGAGCGCCGTGGAGGCCGGAGAGGTGGAAGGCTCAGCTTCCTTACAAGCACCTTGAAAGCGCCGCGGAATTTGCGGGGGGGGGGGCAGGAAGTGGCGGCCGATGGAGCACCTCTGCTGCGCGGAGCGGACGGCTCCCCACCCCAGGAATGCGGGCAGGTGTCGCCTGGCCCCTGCCCGGGCCGCTTTGAAGTGCGGCCGGTTCCTGAGGTGCCGACAGCCCCACGACACCTGGGCCTGCGCCTCCTGGGCACCCTGACCTTCACCCGGGCAGCGCTGCCCTCCCTCGCTCCCACCGGGCCGTCCTTCCTCCGCCCTCCCACACCGCACGAGCTGCCCGCCTCCCGGAGGCGCCTCCGCCCGAGAGCCCCGGGGCCAGAGTCGGAATGGGCAGCGGGTTCGGGCTGGGCTCCGTGAGCAGGGCAGCCGCAGCCCCGGGCAGCCACCGGCGGCTGGAGCAGAGGGTCTCCCGGAGGCTTGGGCAGCAGGCCCCACCTGGGCCGCTTGGCCCCTGCTGCAGATTCCAGTGGACGATGGTCCCGGTGGGGCGGATCCTTTTCCAAGCCGGGGGCCGACTCCCGCTCCTGAGCAAGTCTGGGGGCAGCTTCCTGCTGGGCAGAGCCCGAGCCCCGGAATGTTCTGGCCTGAGGCTCTTACCGGCTGGCAGCACAGGCTTTGGGTGGGGAATGTGAGCCCCCCAGGGAGAAGGGGGCGGCTGCATGGGGACCGCCCCCCCCAGGTTGAGTCGACCTGCCGGCTCACGGCCTTCCTGCGCCTGTTGGGGTGGCCTGCTGCCGCTGCCCACAGAGGCCTGGCGCCTGAGGAGGGTGCCGGACGGCTGCCATCACGTCGTTTCCAGGGGGCACGGTGTCCCCAGGGTTTCAGCGCCTCAGTGGGAGAGCTGCCCTGCGACGTGCCGGTCGCTCTGTCGTGGGGGGTGCTCCCTCCCCGAAGCCTGGCCAGCCTCCCAGGTGCGCAGTGCAGGTCTGGGTTGTGCAGAGTTTCTGCCTCGCTGCCCTGTGCAGGCTCTCCTCAGCCCCTGAGCTGCTGTGGGAAAGGGTTCCTGGCCGGGCGGAGCCTGAATCTCTCTGCAGCAGCACCGTTGCCGCAGGGCCCCCTCCTCTCTCGGGTTTTAGATATGGGGCGAAGCCGTTTCTTGGTTCTGTGGTCTTGGGTTCAGTGGAGCCATGCCGTTCCGATGGCTTTTCTCGGCTGGGGTGTTTGCGTGTGTTGAATGTCCCTTCCCGCACCAAGCTGTGGATTTGTACAGCGGAGGAGAGAATAGAAGTACCTGTGAAGGGCGGAAATGCTCAGCACAAGGACTAGCCTGTTGCCGGGGAGCAGCTCTGCCCCTGAATTGCATCCTCAGTGCCTGCCCTTCTGGCCCCTCCTGCTTCCGCACGGCCCCGCGGCTGCTGCTTCTGGCCCCCCCCCCCATCTCAGGAATGGAGTCAGTGCAGTGGGAGACGAGGCCGGGGAGGCTGCTCCCCCGGCGTAGGTGGCAGAACGAACCCGCTTCGCTCCACAGCCCTTCCGCTCGTGTCCGGGGCCCTGCGGCCCACCGCTGCGGGAGCTTCTGCTTGCCTTCTGCACAGCTCTGGGCTTTGGGAGGGGCTGGTCTCCCTTGGAAGCGCCACCGGGAGATGGGGCAGCTCGTGGTGCGCCACATGGAGGGGCAGGCAGCGTGGCGCATGGGGGGCTTCCGCTTCGTGGCAGCTAGAACTGCCTTTGGGCCTGAGCCGGCCTTCTTTCGGTCCGTCCCCAGCACCTGGGCATCCCCTCGCCTGCAGAGCATTTCGGGCGGATGAAACGGCTGCGGAAGCGCGACGGCCGCAGCTCTTGCACCACTGCTCCTAAGCCCTTTCCTTCTCCCGTCTCTCCGCCCGTCTCTCTCTCTCCCCCTCTCCCTCTCTCTCCCCCCTGCAGCTATGAATCTTCTGCCGAAATCTTGCCCCATACCCCACGGCTCACCCATTTCCCTAGTGTCTCCGGGTCTCCGTCCAGCCTCGCTGACTCCATGCAGCAGAGCCCGCCCTGCTCCCACAGACGTCGGCAGCACAGCCCCAGCGCCATGTAGTTCCCTCCCGGGCAGGGCCCCGCCTGCCCACCTGCGTGACTCTGGCCAGGTAGGGGCGAGCGGAGGGTCAGGCCCGCGTGCCCCTTGGGGTGGGGGGGCCCTTGGCACCGAGCTGGCAGTCGGCAGGAGCGCAGTGCTGGAAGGTTCCCGGGGGCGTGTCTCGACCCACGCACCGCCACAGAGTCTCCCACGCTGACAAATTGCTTGCTGGAGGTCTCTCGTGGCGCAGAGAACGTGCTTTGCACGAAGGGCCCCGGGGCCAGCTCGTCCGGTGGCACCAGCGGGTATGACCGCCGGAAAGTTGGGGCAGCTGGTGCCAGCCAAGCGGGGCCCAGTTTTTGCACCCAGGAGGGACCTCCAGAGCAGCAGCATGTTAACAGGAATGGCCAGCCGGCTCTGGCAGGAAAAGCAAGCTGGCAAGACCTCAGCGCCTTCCGAAACGGAGCGTCTTTTTCCCAGCGGGCAGGTGAACTCTGTCCAGCAGTCGTGAGCCGCCCAGAGAATGTCAGCTGTGGGCAAGAAAGAGATGATTTATCGTTATTCATTTCATTTCAATACCGCCCCACAACCACAGCTCTGTGGGCGGTTTGCAGCCAGCCAAGTGATAACTGAGCTAGCCCAGGGCGCGAGGACCCACTGGGCTGGCTCGGGGCGAGGCCGTGGCACCGGCATTGCGACCCCGCTCGGCCGGGCCTGCCAGAGTTTCGGAACAAAAACAGCCTCTCCGTCCAGGTGGGTTGAGGAACTGGGCTGTTCCTGCCAGATGTGGAAACCCAGCTGGGCTGGGAGTGGAGCCCGCCACTGTTGGCTGGCTTCTGAATCTGGCCCTGCCTAAAGAGCGGCGGGGGGGGGGGGGCTCCATCCGTCCACCCCCTGTGAGTTTGGGAGGGCACGTGCTGGGGCCGCGAGGCACATGCGGAAGATCTGCTTCCACGCAGCCTCTCCATTGGGTCTTGGGCTGCTTGCTCCCACGGCGCTCGCGGAGGCCGGGGCCACAGCATGAAAGCCGAGGAGGCGAGCAAGCCACACGCCGGTCCCGCGTCCTGTCCCTGCGCTGGCCCACCCGGACACCCGTCGGAAGCCTGTGAGCAGGGCGTGAATGCTGCTCGTGTTCCCCGGCGCCTTGTTCTGAGAAACGTGCGCGGCGGCCGTGGCCGGGGTGGGGAGAATCTCATCTTCCGGGCTGCGCCTTCAGCCGCGAGCCAGTGCAGGCCACAACCCCACGGGGAGCTTCAGTGCCACACTCCTGCCTGGCTTCACTCGCTTCAGCAAAGGTGGTGTGGGGAACTTCCCGGGGAACCGCACCCCGGACCCCGTGCAGGGCTGTCTCTCGCACTGGCACACTCGGCCCACCCGTGTGCACAGCGATCGAGGACCTGCCCGCGTGGGCTTGCGGGGCTGCACACCCGTGGCTTGGCGTGTGCCGGAGGCCCCTGGCCTCGAGCCCCCTCCTCTTCTGCCTTCGGTTCCCCACCGCCCTTCCGAGGAGGCAGGCGCACTCTCTGTTCCCGCAACTCCATCTGCACGCCGCCTCTCTGGTTCGGGAATCGGCTTGCTGAGCGGCACTCTCGTGGTTGGTGGGCTCATGGCGGCAGGTGTGCCGTGGCTCTGAAGCCGACTCCTTCGAGCGGGGCAGGGGAGCCGCGGGCCTCCCTCGAGGGACCTGCCTGGCCCTCTGGCTCGGGCTGGTGGGGGCCCTGGCTGGGCGGAGCAGCGGAGGCAGGCCGTTGATGGAGGCTGAGCCGAGAACTGTTGAACCGCGGAGGGGTCTCTGCAGGGGAGTGTTTTCTGTCTTAGGAAAATCAGGTGATGTTCCAGGAGGCGCCTGCCAAAAAGCTGAATTCTGGGACCACGCAAATAGGTTTTTGCGGCTTGTTCTGTTTGCTTCTGGAGCAGAAGCTACATGGGTCCCTTCCCGGGGGGCGTGGGGGGCAGTTCCTTGCCAAAGCTCCAGTTGCCCAGCCTTCCCACCTGTGCGCCTGCCTTTTCAGCCTCGGGGCTCGGAGGGGATGGGCTGTGTCGGCTTCAGAGAGGGAAGGGCCGCGGCCGCGCCAGCCTCTGCTCTCGTGCGGACCACCCGCCACGGCTTCGCCAGCCTTTCCAAGCGCCCGGTGGGGTCTCTGTGTCGCACGGCGGAGCCGAGCTGCGAGCCTTTCCTGGTCCCTGCGTGGGGAGGGGGTGGGCCAGGCTGCGGAACGGCCCCGTCGTGAGCCGCGCGCGCTTCACCTTCTGCCCCCTGTCTTGTCCCCAGCTACGAGGAGAACGCCAGCCCCAAGGAGGTGCCAGGAGATGCCAAAGAAGGGAAGCCACAGCTGGAGAAAAAGGAGAAGTGACTGCGGGCCGCTCAGCCGGGCTGGGCCTCGTCCGCTCCCCCCCTCGCCAGTGATTCTCGATTTCTAAAGGCAACTGGATCGTGTTCCGGCCGTGTGTGTTTGTGTGTGTGCATCTGTCTGAGGAGCCGGCGGGGCGGGGAGGAGGCAGGAGCGCCGTCGGCCCCCGTACCCGCCGCGGGGTGCTTCTCCTGCTCCCCTTGGGGGGAACGGGTGGGACACGGCTCCACCCCTCCCCCAGACGCCTTCGACTCCCCTCCCCTTGATTTATTCATTGTCTTGATGGGATGAGGAAAATGGGGGAGGGGGACACTCGGGGGGCCGATTTTTACATTTTGTATTGTGGATTTGCTTCTTCTCATATTAAAAAACACACTGAAGGACCAGGGCGGGACCACTGGACTCTCCTTCCTGCGGATGGTGCCACGTCTGTGATCTCAGTGGGGCCTGTGGCGACACCGGTGCGGTGGCCCTAGACCCCTCCAAGAGACGTGTGGCGCCCCTTGAGGAAGCCCCTAGAAGGGATTGAAGTGGCGGCTTCTGGCTGGGATCCGCCACAGCCGTGCCCCCTTCCCTCCCCAGGCAAGGAAGCAGACCTGGTTCCGCGCACGCCGGCCAGCTTGGCCCGCGCAGGGGCTTCGCCATCTCGTCGCACAAGGCCCAGAAAGGTGTGCCTGGACGGGTGCTCTGGGACACCAGCCGCAGGAGACCCCGGCGTGACCTTCCCCAGCCTGATGGGATCTGCAGGCCCGTGGCCAGCGGCCCTGGGATGTTCTGGCTGGGGCGCGGAGGACGAAGAGGACGGGCCTCCCACCCGCTGGGCAGCTCTTCCAGGGCACCCGCGGGGCTTCCTCAGCGTTCCTCCCCACACGATGCGCTGGCTCACGTGTTCTGCACGTAGAAACCCCCTCAGAGAGCAGGGCGGGGAACTTGTACCACTCTAGATCCCGTTGGACCACAGCTCCCATCCTCCCCGGCCACTGGCCATGCTGGCTGGGGCTAAAGGGAGCATACGCGGCTCATGCTCCTCCTCTTTTGAGCCCCGACTCTCTGCCTCCTGCCTCGTGGGCTCCCCTGCAGGACCCGCCTGGGCCCGGAGGCGCTGCCCATCAAGAAGCGCCCAGCTCACGGCTGCGGAGGGCGGCCTGTGGGGCCGCGGGTGTTGCTGGGGGGCAGCTCCCCTCCCTCAGCCAGGAGCCAGCCGTTCAGGGCGCAGGCCTGGGGCTCAGGCGACTGGGGCGGCCATCCCTGCTCTGCCACGGAGCCGGCCAGCTGGACGACTTCGGGCCGGTCGGAGAAGGGGAGGAGGAAGCACACGATGCAAGGCAGTGAGAGAAGGAAGGAGAGGGGTACGCTGAGCTCCGGCCACTGGGCCGGATGCCCTCGCCTCGCGGACGGCCTAAGCGCGCCCGCAGGCCCACATGCTGCCCGCAGGATCCTGCACGCGAGGCACCCTCCTGCCCATCTTCCCCAGCACCTGGTGTGCCCAAACCTGTGGCACGGTGCCTTGCCTTCCAGGCAGAGGAGGCAGTCGGGAGCCAAGTGGCTTGGCCAGCCTTCACCAACGAAAGGAAGCGGGGTTGGTAAAAGGATTGGTATGAATATGAAATCCTTTATCGCTTAATCTGGGCCTCACCCACGGGCCCTGGAACCCATGAAACTATTTGTCTGATGGAGATTATATAGAGAATAAGCTACATATTGCCTTCCTCTGGGCTATGCTGGCTGAGGGATAATGGGAGCTGTAGTCCGGCACGTCTGGAGGGCTCGGAGTTTGGAGGAAGGGGAATTAGGATTTTATTTTCATGTTGACTACCTCAATTTCACCCAGAGGGAATTTTCCCACACACTGGCTCCTTACACCGTTCTCACAGCATCCTCCCCATCGCCATCCTCCTCCTAAGTACATACCCCCGCCCTGGTTTGATCTTTCCCCCCAGCATGCTGGGGCCCCGTCGTCGTTGCACAGAACTCTCTGTTCTTCGTCTTGCCAGCAGGGGGCGTCCCTTCACCTTGCAGCCCTGCACTCGCTGCCCACGGCTGCACGGATGGATTGCCTTGGACCGAAATTTGCGTCCAAAAAACCTGCTTTTACAAAAATAGCCAGGTAGTGCTGACCTCGACTGGGGTGTGTTGGCCAGGACAGAGGATCCCAAGAGCTGGAGTCCCGATCCCCAGCATCTGTGCAGTGTCTTGGCATGGAGGAGGAGGAATGTGAGGCAGGGTCCCAGTTCCCAAAGCACCTCTAGAGAGGCTGAGGGGCCCGCCGAGGCTGCACCCGATACCCAACGACTGGCCGGGAACACCTCAGGGCCAACCCCAAGGCCAGGGCAGGCCGGGTGCTGCAAGCCGTTCATTTATTCACTCGGACCTCACGGCGGCTCCCTCTCGATTGGAACCCTGGGCCGTGCCCTGGTAGGACCTTGGGGCCCAGGCCTGGGGGTCCTTCCTTTGCCCGCTGCATCTCCTTCGCCTTCTTAGCTTCAAGCAGCCGTGGGCGCGAGCACATGCCATTAACTTGTGTACCGATTCTGGTATAACAAGCAGCCACGAAAAGGCTACTTCTGGCACTCGGTTTTGCTTTTAGCTTTTCTTGCTGGAATTTGCCTGTTTGACCTCTCTGTGAAACTTCACGTTCTCTGCACTTGCAGCCTTCTCTGGAGGGGCCAGGGCTGCATGCTGGCCATCACCCTTCTGAATGCGCTTAAAGTGGGCGGAAGGCTGAAGGTGGCAGTAAAACCGCTCGATATCCGCTTGAGCCATGCACATGCCCCGCATCAGGGCTGCAAAACATCCTTGGAGCCCTTTTCTCTCCGCTCTCCTCCTCTTCCTGCAAACTACCGAAGAACAAACGGCTTTTGAACTAATTGTCCATGGAAACTACTGAAATGAGGCTGAGGGTGGTGGGATGCTGCAGCCTCATCGTTGTGCTGGATCCATGGTTTTTGCACCTGGTTACATACTACAGCAACGGTGTGGGTGGGGAACCTCGTGCCTGTGAGCCGTTTCTTCTCTCCAGTCTCCTGAGGTGGAAGGGTGAGTGGTATCCAGGGGAACCCTACTGTCGGCCAAGCATGAGGCCTAGGAACTTGCCTTCAAGGAAACAAAAAGATGATTGTGGATTCTGTCTTCTGAAAACTCGAACACATGCTGACAAGAAATGTATGTATAAGCCATTCCCCTCTGCATTTCTCGTGCGTGTGTACGCTCATGTAGGATGACATGTCGTGCTTCTGATGAGGCAAACTCCGGTTCAGCACAGCTTCTGCCGTAACCATTTTGTTCTGTTCGTCTCGTCAAAGCCTCTAGACCAGGGTGAGGCGAGAAGACAGGCACATCTTGATAGATCCACGGGTGGCTTGCGGGAAATTGGCGAGGGTTTCTGACTTCCAGCAGCTTGGCAGCTGCACAATTACGTTTTCCCCAAGTAGACAGGGCTGCTGCAGCGAAGAAGGCAGTGGAGGAAGGGAGTCTGCTCAAGTACAGAAAACAGATTCCTGGCCGGGGCTTGGGGTGCCCGTCCTCAGATTCTGGGGTGGACTTAGGCAAAAAAGGGCCTGCGACTTCACACACGCCTCAGCCAGTTGATCTGGAGCTGTAGGTCTTTTTCCGTCTCAACCTGCATAGGATTGCACCGTAACTCCACGCCTTTTGCACCTGGCTCTGGGTGGTAAATCTTGGGGGGCAGGGTGGGGAGCTTGAAGGAAAAACAAAAATCCTCAAAGATCTGACATGCCCGACCTCTGCAAGTCCCAGCCTTTGTAGTCACTCTGTGGGTTTTGTGCCAAGAGGCTTAGCAGGGCTGAATACTTTAATCAGGTCAAAAATGTTCGCTCGAATGGGAAGAACCAGTTCCTGGGAGAGACGGGACAGGATCGTGCCTGCCAATAGACTCCGCTGCCAGGTGAGCGCCAGTGTTCTGCAGGCATTGAAAGGATGCCAGGCAGCGCCTCGTGTTTCGGAGCAACAGGTACATCTTGTGCTTCCCATATCCCTGGGTCTCTGCTGCCCTTTCTCTTGCATTGTGGTGTGCCGAGAGACACTGACACAAACGGGGAAGTGCGGCAGGTTCTTTCTAGAGCAACCGGGGCAAATGCCAAACGAAAATGCCGGCCTCTGCCAGGACAGCCTGGAGACGCGCTTGGTACGTTCAGTGCTCCCGGTCACAAAGGTTCAAACGTTAGTTCCCAGAACATTTCTCATTGGAGGAGTCAGCTATCCAAGCGCAGAGAATGGTGCATTGCCATCAAGGAAGCCTGCCAATTGCTGTCCCACAAAGACCACCTTGAAAAACCTCCCTGAGGAGAATCCCGTGGATATAGCAAAACCTGTGGAGAAACAGAATTCCTTATTCAGCGGTACATCCGCTCACAAATGCCTCAGTTCACGGCCAAATTGGGTCGCGAACAGAAATTTCTGAAAAATTTTGCCTCAGGTCGCAAACTCTGCATCGGGTGACGATCACGATCGTGCCCGTCTCCCCACCCCTGTGCGCCTGCGATCGTGCCCGTCCCCCACAAGCGTGCCAGCGATCGCCCACCTATGGCCGCGATCTCGGCTGCGCTCATGCAGGGATGAGGGGCGTGATCACGTAGAAACAGAGCGAGTCAGAAGGGGTCTCCCAGGCCATCTAGTCTGACCCCGGACTCCAGCCAGCTCTGCTCACGACATGCCCACCGTGTGCGTGCCCAGCCTATCTTTGAACACCCCCCGCACATCATGGGTGTGCAGGGGGTGGGGGAAATGGCTGCACTCGGGCTCAAGGTGTGGGGGGAGATGGCCACGATCCTTGTTCTTTGTCACTTTTCTTCAAATTTTTGTGGTTAAAAAAATAGTTACAGAACGAATTAACCTTAGGGGGAAATTTGACTTGGCTCACGACCAATTCGGGTCACGACCAGAGTCCTGGGACGGATTAAGTTTATGCGCCAAGGTACCCCTGTACTCAACCTTTGCAGAGTGCTTTTGACTCTTCAAATAACCGCATGGACATGCTCCTCCTGAAAAGCCCCCTTCAAGGTCAGTTCCTGTATCGCAGAGTGGAGAGAGAACAAATTGCCTGAAATCCACCCAGTGAATTCGTGGCCAATCCGAGATTTAGACGAGCAACTTCAGGGGCGCGGGACATGCTGCTCTTCCAGTGCTGATGGCCTGCCTGTCATTTATCAGATGTTATATCCTACTTGATGCCCAGTAAAATTCTTGCGCCGCGAATGGCAGACAGGAATAAAAAAGGACTTGAAGGCAGAGTTACCACCGCTCTCCTCTTCCAGTGGGTGTCACAGTCCAGTAACATCCAGGGAGGACCGCAAGCTGTCCATAGCGGCCGCCTCCAGGGCCTGAGGCAACCTGCCTATGTGAGATGCGCTGGGGAACATGGGAGGCT